TTTTTAATCAAATTGGTTTGCAAAAGTTTTATAATTTTGCAAGATCTTTTTTGAAACTGAAGGTATAATAGGATTTCAATTATATTAAATCGTAAACACGAATCTTAAATCTAGAATGCATATATGGTCAAAATTTGAGAAAAACCTCCTTTATACTAGTTGGAACATAATTGAGATATGCTGTCTTCATATGTCAAACTAACTCTCTCTGTTCCTGTTGTTTGGTTTTGTATAGAGTTTTCTGAAGACTTTTGTTTGGTTTTCACAAATCAACCGATCAAAGCTTGTGGAAGATGCTAAAACTTTCAGGAAGGGAGCTTGTGTAAAGTATAATTCTTTACTCTTTGAAATTGTTGTTTATATTTCTAATTTCCATTTTCCAACTTTTCTCATCTTATTTTTCTAGCTGTGGTGCTATGACTCATAAGGCCAAAGATTGTATGAAAAACCGCGATCTAACAAGAATCTAGCAAAATACCGTAACAGATCCATTGCATTAGATACAAGGTAAGAGGTTTGCTGACTATTTTTCTAAGTTCTTTTCACTGCACATACATCACATGACATTGCAGCACATCAATTTTTTTTACCCTGGAAAATCCTACTGACTTCCTTACATTGGTTCTCTAGAAGCTTTAATAGTCTCATGGTGCAAAACTGGATTCTCTTTTAAAAGATATTGAGCATTTGTATGAATCAATCGTCTTATATGTTTCTGCAGCTCTCTCTGGATTTTCATCAGCAACAGCTTCTTGTTCTTTCTGCTTAAGATAATCTTGTTAGTGAAAAATCATGTTACAAAGAGTTTATTAGTTTCTAGTACTTCTATGAAAGATATATTTTGTCTTAAAACAATCAAGAACAAAATATTTTGTAAATGATGCATGCTCTATTCAATAGGACTAGCAAGCAATTGGTCCAACGAATTGGGCTTTTTTCAGATGATGAAACGGGCCGCTATGAAATAAATGATTGATACTTATCACTTACACTAACGGACAATGAAGCTGATAAATGAAGAGACCAAAAGTTTCTAACTTTCTAATGATACAAAATAAAATACAAAGATTCCAAAACATATCAACTTAATTTAAATTTTCATTTTAAATATGAGATGAGATCAGAAATCTATAGAGTACAACAAAACACTCTGTCAGATTCCCACTAAGTTTTGAGGATTCCCCAAAAAACAATTTGGACAATAATGCTCAAAATTTTATTAATTAATTTCCCCAAAATATAATTACCAAATTATGAATTGTATTGCTCTCTCAGAATCAAAACACAGAAGGAGAAGAAAAAATAAAAATGGAATCTTTGGAACGCTTCCTCTGCTTTATTGCTCTTCTTGTTATCTCCCTTCTTCTACCTTCAAGCTTAGCTCAACAACAACAACATGAATCAATTAGAACAATGGAAGATTTTTCCGGATACCCAATTCACGAACCGGGTCAATTCGGTTCCATCAATCTCGCTTCTTCACTCTCCGTTGATGCTCCAGGACTACAAAAACAGGTTCAAAGTTGGGTTTTTTTTTTAGTAGATTTCAAAAGTTTTGAGATTTTTGATTTTGATTGATGTTCTTTTGTTTTGGTTTTAGATAGATGAGCTCTCTAATTTCTCTGATGCTCCTTCTCCATCAGTCACTAGAGTTCTTTACACTGACAAAGATGTCTTGGCTCGACGGTACTTGTTTGAGTTATTATCAGTTATTACTTGTTTGAGTGATCATAAAGATTAGGTTTTGTTAAGCTAAGTTGATTGATTTTTGTTAGGTATGTGAAGAATTTGATGGCACTTACTGGTCTTACTGTTAGAGAAGATGCTGTTGGTAACATATTTGGCAAATGGTTTGGCTCTTGCTCTCTGTTGCTCATTGTTCTGTTTAGAAGATTAGTTTTTGTTGATTATGTTATTCATGTGGTGTGTTGTTTTCATGCCTCTTAACTTAGGGATGGTTCAGAGCCAAATCTTCCTGCTGTAGCGACTGGTTCTCATATCGATGCTATTCCATATTCCGGCAAGTATGATGGTGTTGTCGGTGTTTTAGGTGCGATTGAAGCTATCAATGTTTTGAAAAGGTATGAAGAATCTTTGGATTGTAGAAAGTGGAGTTTAAGATTGTGTTTCCTGATGATTTTTGTTGGGGTTTCTTTGTTTTCTTAAGGTCGGGGTTTAAACCGAAGAGATCTCTGGAGATAATCTTGTTCACATCTGAAGAACCGACCCGGTTTGGGATCAGTTGTTTAGGAAGGTACCTTTGTTTTTGATCTTGGTGAACTGATAAAAGATTGTTGCTTTGTTTCTTTTTGTCTTATTTGTAAATGTTCTTGATACAGCCGCTTGCTTGCTGGAAGCAAAGAACTTGCAGAAGCACTAAAGACTACAGTTTTTGATGGCCAAAATGTGTCCTTTATAGACGCAGCTAAATCAGCTGGATACGCAGAAGATAAAGATGACGACCTGTCGAGTGTGTTCTTGAAGAAAGGAAGTTACTTTGCTTTTATAGAGTTGCATATCGAACAGGGACCTATACTCGAAGACGAAGGTCTGCTTAATTTCCCTTTTCCGCTTCTAAGAATTTCTTGCTTTTTCTCCCTATTTCGTTTTAGCTAATATTAGATATTATTTGACCACAGGTTTAGATATCGGTGTAGTAACCGCCATTGCTGCTCCAGCAAGTTTGAAGGTGGAATTTGAAGGCGGTGGAGGTCATGCCGGTGCTGTGCTTATGCCATATAGGTGAGCTATATTATACAACTGAACCATCTGCTTAACCACAAGGCAACTAGAACACTGATTACTGTATAATGACTATTTCTTAGAAATGATGCCGGGCTTGCGGCTGCAGAGTTGGCTCTAGCCGTGGAAAAACATGTATTAGAGTCGGAGTCAATAGATACTGTAGGAACTGTTGGTAAGTTTTACCTCACTAATTTCTCAAGAACTTACTCTCAATGGAACTTATTCACAAGATGAATCATTGTGGTTTAAGGTATTCTGGAGCTACATCCTGGGGCAATCAACAGCATCCCAAGCAAATCTCATCTTGAAATTGGTAATTCCTTATGTTCCATCACACATACTAATAGAGAAAGTCTGGTAAATATACGTTGAAAGTAGTCTCGAGTGTTTTGGTTTTGATCATTGAGACTAAGTTCTTGTCTTGTGTTCTTTCAAAGATACAAGGGATATTGATGAAGCGAGAAGAAACACCGTGATCAAGAAAATTCAGGAATCTGCTAACACGATAGCCAAAAAACGAAAAGTGAAGCTATCAGAATTCAAGATTGTAAATCAAGATCCACCAGCACTCTCAGACAAACTAGTAATCAAGAAAATGGCAGAAGCAGCTACAGAACTTAACTTATCTCACAAGATGATGATCAGCCGAGCTTATCATGATTCTCTCTTCATGGCCAGGTACCACAAAGTTTGCAAGTTTCATCTTCAGAATACTACCCTAAACTTTTAAATTGAGCATCCTGAACCATGACAACTTTTCAACATACAATAACTATTGAAGTATTCCCCTGCAGAGTCCTAACTCATAACCTTATAGAGTTACGATAATTCATATTGAAACTTTCAAAGTTCCTTGTCCATTTCTATAATCGCCATATCAGAATCTGTTAAATTCATTAGTGTACTTTCTGCTTTCATTGTTCTTGCTTAGAGTGATACTGAACTTTGTTGTATATTTCTGTGTCCAGAATATCTCCAATGGGTATGATATTCATCCCGTGCTACAAAGGTATATATAATTATTACCGAGACCGTGATTTTAATCGAATCAGCATCGCCCGTTAAGCTTTTTATTGGTTGTGTGATCTTTTGCAGGATATAGCCATAAACCTGAAGAATACTCATCTCCTGAAGACATGGCTAATGGAGTAAAAGTACTCTCCCTCGCTCTGGCTAAGCTTTCTTTAGACTGATGCAAACCCTCTCTCTCACCCAGAAGCTTTATCACCCAGAAGCTCTACACATTCTCTACCTCTTCTTCAGTCTTTCTATCTTTGACAATGTAAAGAAAAATTCAATAAATGTTGTGGCTATCAAGTTAACAGTCACAGTTTTTTTTTTTTTTGAAACTGTTGTAATTATCAAAGTCACAATAGTAATTCTGTTTCATGTAATTAATAAAATATGTTTTAAATTAAGAATTTGACGTTTGTTGAAGATGACACAAGTTGTGAAATGTTAGTTAGCTCTTAGACTGTGATAGGGAACTAATTTTTCTGCAGCTAATAGTATTATGAATGGTTTGTCAATAGACACTTTTTCTATCTTTTTGACTTGAAAACAGAAAAAAAATTAAAAGTAGAGAATGTGATTGTTTAAATGGGAATATGTCTTTATTTGACATACCAAACTTCTCTTAGTTTATAACTTCTAGTTACAGATCATACATATATCTTGAAACTTAGGTGTACCAAACTTAGGAATTGTTAGAAATAGAGTCATTCTAAAATAATTGTTTTTTTTTCCAAGAAAATGATAAAAAAAAAAAAAAAAATTCAAACACTTATAGGAGGGTTTAGGAGTGCTTCTTAATTTTAAAATTTTAATTAATTATTTAGAAATTTGGAAAAGAAAGTTTAAAAATGTTTTACATATTTTTATCACCAAATTAATTAAATCTATGGAGTAATATATACAATTTCGTTTATTTGGTTAAAGAATTTCGTTTGAATACAATTTATGAAATATAATACACAAATTTCTAAAGAAGAATGTTATACTGAAATAAACTATCGTAAATAACATTGAACTATAGTTGTATTACATAGTAATTCTTTCTCTATAAATATTGATTTTATTTTTTGGAAATGGAGACAAAATTGGTGAGAGAGGAAAAAGAAACCAGTCTCCAAGCTACTTGGCGTAATAAAAGAGCCCATCTTTAGAAGAAACATGCATGATGCCGTATATATACACTTCTCCTCTAATCATCTTTTTCTCATTCTCTCTTCTCTCTTTGTTTTTCTGAGCCAAAAGTTCAGGTGAATGATGCCTGGCTCGAGACCATTCCATCTCATGATCATGATGATGATATAATGATGATGATGATGTCGGACCAGGCTTCATTCCCCTCAACTTACACGTTTTTGCTTCTCAATCTTCAAGACCAATCGTTAAACCGATCACCTAAATGAAATCTCCGGTAAGCCAAGAAAGATGAACATAAAAACACACGATCATGTGTGTACATATATGTGTATGTATTATCATCAATCCATTGCATAATGTATAATGGTGTATATCAAATTTTTTGGCATATCTTTTATTATTAAAATTTCCTTAATTTATCTGTCGTTGAACTATAAATTTAGTTTCTCGCACTTAACAATATAATCGAAATTTCTTTTTGACAAAGGTATATCTTAGCAATGTCAATAATATGTTTACAGTGTTATCATATGCTCTATTTTCTGAAGAATAGATTATGCAGTATTTTATTTCAGCTTGAATATCAGAAATATAAGTTGGTCAATGTCATGGTAAATTTTGTATATATATAATCAAAACTGTACTATTATATTAACGTTGTACTTTATAATATGAACTGATTCTTAGGTGTAGATTAATAGTAGGAAGAAAGGTATAATATCAAAATTAACGTCAACTTTAATTCATGAGGGGCATATAACTTTTTCTCTTTACCAATTTCGTTGAAATATCTTGTTGTAATCAGTGTGGAAATTGGCTAAAAAAAACTGTTTTCTTTTCTTTTGACTATTTAGTTTTCAACATTATTTATATATTTCCATTTGTTCAACAGTAATAAAGAATTATCCTAAGAAGATTAATATTATGGAAAACTACTAGATGATTTAGTGTATTTTTTTAGTAAATAGTTCGTCTTTTCAAAAATATAAAAGTTTGATTTGATATGTAACAATACTACACATCTAAAAAAGGTTTATATAACAAAAGGTCGATCAATTTTGTAATCAAACAAATGAGAAAATAATCAATGAAATTTTATTTTTGGAGGAAATGTGAAAACGTTATAAATTGAAATGTAACGAGACAAACTAGTGAATTCATTACAGCAATATTGATAAATATATACTAGTACAATTTATTCATAATGATGCAATAATTAGTTGATAGAGCCAAACAAAAAAGGTCGTGATATAATATTACATGTTACATCGTGACTTTCACTTTCCTTTTCTGACTTGACTGCATAATTATTATATTTTTTTTTACTTTTTTATAGACCAAAAATATGCAATGTGTTCATACTTCATGCTTTGGAAGAGATCTTTATGTCAATTTTGTAATATGAAAAATAATACCAAATTATGAGTAAAATATACAGATGGTTTGGAAATTGAATGTGTTTTTCTCTTTTTTTTTAAATAAGTACTATATATTTGTAAAACTAGGTTATTAACCTTGGGTGTTCATCAAAATTCAAATATTTAGCGTTCTTTGACATCTACAAAAATTTGTTTTACTTTTGTTTTTGTAAATTTTAATTACTATTGTACAAAATAAAATAAAATTTTATCATCCACAACATAATTATATGCTGCCGCAAACACCGATGAGAAAGAGTTTTTGAAATCTAACAATTTTAAGTGGTCTCAAGTGGTATATAGCGATTTAAGTGATTGTTGTTAAACACTAACAACCACAACCACAACAATCGCAAACGTAGCATTTTTAAATAATTGCGGGAGAGCCAATTAAACTTTTAATAACATTTGTTCTAGTTTTGCTTTGATTATATTCTTATTGTAATTCAACTGGCATTCACTAATTATAAATCTAGTTTCTTTCTTCATCTTCCGATCTCTTTTCTTTTAGCTAATCTAGTTCGAATTATTGTATTTTTTTGCTAAATATTGTAACCCCTATTTCTCTTCCATTTATAACACCGAATTTTAACATCCATATCTTGACTGATTTTTTTTGGTAACTACAATAGCAAATTAGCAATACCTCAAGTTGTCATCATCTACAATAACAAATTAGCAATACCTTATGTGTATGTATCCAATCATCATACCCATAGAATTGGTGGATGTGTTGCTACGAAACACCACTTATAAATATCTATTGGGCTATGGTAAGTGATTTCAACCAACTCATTTGCAACTCTAACATCTTTGGAGATTTGGTAGTCATCCCCAAAGGCCACATCTAATTTTGATGACTTTTGTGATGCACTTTGATTCGTAGGGCTTTACACTCTACATGGTGGAACAACAAACTGATCAATCACATATCCAAGAAGAAAAATCATACCTTCATCAATGTATACTATGGTTTATATGTAAGGTTCCTATTTCGTTGGTAAAACCTTGTCGGCCCTTTTAGTTTTTACACCACATTATCGGTCATCGATCCTATGTATACTAGTTCGTGAATGATCATTAGGGCTCTAATGCAAATCTCAAGGTCAGCCTTACATTGCTTGGCCCAATATTTAAAGACTCTATAGCTCATGCTTCCAGACTCAACTCTATCAATTTTAGCGACACTTAGCTTTGCTTAGGGTTGAAGAGGCTGAAGCACATCTACGTATGTTTAAAATCACTGAGAGGCACAAAGAATAAAGTCTTCTTCAATTGTAATTTCAATACGGTCTAAACAATTTGTAACTGGCATCGGCGGACCAATTATTGTTAAGGGAATGCACATGACAACTCTGAAATAAACTGTTTTTTTTTTGAATAAGTAATAGGTTTAGAGCCTAGGTCCGTACATCGCCTCAGGCAAGAGACTAAACCATTTTATATGGTCTTTTCCCAAGCGCCAAATAAAATGCTTTATTTTTTTATTGTAAAAAAATGGAGATTTTTTTTGTATATTAGGTCGTAGATAACGTTGTTAAATTTTAAGGTTTGCATTTTATGGATCCACCAATAGTAATAGGTACCATACAACGTTTTTTTTGGGGGGTTTCTTTTAGCTATCTTCATGGGGTTCAAAAGGAAATTTTTTAGTTTTTGTCTCGATAATACAGTTTGTTAAGAGGGTTATATGCTTTTGAAAATAATAATAAATATTCACATTAAAATTAATTTTTAAGATATGAAAAATAATATGTCTTGCAAAAATAAACTCCTTTAACCATAAACGTCGGAAGGTTCTCTTTTGACTTTACAAAAAATATTATCGGACGAATATGTTGTCACTGTCTAAAAGTTATGGCGTTCCGAATATCTTTCACACTATTCTAATTGATTAAGCAATATCAACAGATGTGACTAGGATTCTATTACGTAGTTGACATAAACTAGAGGTCGGTATAATACCCATAACCAAACATTAACTATTTGGGACCTATTGCTAGCTGTTTTCAATCAAGCAGCTTTCAACTTTAAGTTTATATAATTCTTCACCAAATTAATATAACCTCTTATTTATATTTATCTCTGAGAATATTAAATGGCCTACAAGAAAGATTTGCGAATTGTGAGTGATAGATTTTTCTTAGGAAATGAAGACAAAATTTGAGACAAGGTCTTTATGATGAAAGAAACTTTATTAGTCCGTGATGTTTCATCTCCAACTGTTTCATTGTTTTTTTTTTCTTCTTTTTCCCCTTTCTCTTTTGCATTATAAGAAAGAATATGATTGCACAAGGTTGGCATGTTGTGGATATAGAAATTAATTAGTCTCTGTTATAGCTTCAAATTTGTTGTTGCAGAATATGATTTTGTTAGAAAATAATAAAAAAAATATGACAAAATATTTATATATATATATATATATATATATATATATATTATATTTATGGATGTAGTGCTACGACATATAAGGTTATACGTCAATCTATTTACATATTTATGATTGGTAAAATTAACGCTATAGAAATGATGTAAAAATATGTATCTATAGAATAATTGATGTATTTTTTTTGGTTCAAAAGAATAATTGATGTATATATAATTCTTTTTTATAACAAACTTATGTAGTTTGTAAAAATATCTCTTTTTCAAGTGACATAGTTTGTCTAGAGTAGGCATGTGGAATGTCTTTACAGCATAGACCATACATTTTTAGCATTGTTAGAATCTCAAATGGGAGGTAGATGATACCTTAAGTAATATATAAATGACATAGTTCAGTTTACTCATTGCTAATCAATTTTGAGTTAGACATTCAAGAAACTTAAAATGACATTAAAGACCATATTATTGCACCAAGTAGAACGATTTAAGTAATGTGTGTTTTTAATCCTACAATGAAATTTGATTTGAGATAAACAAAAAAAATAATCTTGAAGAGGCATAATATGATTCCACATCAAAAAAATATTAAAACACATCTCATTTAAATTTATAATATAGTATTAGATCATCTACAATATTATAAATAAGGAAAAGTTAAGTCATAAGTTATTCATTTAACTATCAAGTTATTTGACATGAATAGATTTATTCATTAAAAAGTTTTTATAAAAAAATTAGAACTTAGAGGTCATGATTTATTTATTTTAAGATAGAAATTTTTAGTAAAGAAATCCCATCCTCTTTAATGGTCAAATCGGTAAAATTAAGGATTTATATACAAGTAGACATTGGCCTAAACCAGAGCGATTACACCGGCAATTAAATGCTAAAAGTGGTTTATACTTTACCACTGTACAAACTCAATAAAAAGATTTCTTAAGAGTGTCAACTACTGCATCATTGTTGCTAGAAATGATGATATTATCAACATAAACTTACATACAGAGAAAAAAAAAAGCATCAAAAATCTTTCAGAAACGGGTATGATCACAATGAGATTGAACAAACTAAGACCAAGTAGAGTGGTTGATATATAAGGAGTCATTGCCATAAGACTTGTCTATGACCATAGAGGGATTTCTTCAACTTACACACATCATAGGGAGTGAGAGATTTCCCTTGTCTAGATGCATAACCTTGGGGTAAATGCATAGATTTCTTTTAAAATCCTCATTAATGAAAACATTAGATATATCCAATTGAGTGAGAATCCAGCCAAAGATTGCATAAACACCAAGTAAAAGTTTGACAGAAGTTTATATAAAAGTAGACATTAGCTTAAACCAGAACTTCTAAACCGAAGATGAAATGCTAAACTTGTTTTTTTTTTTTTTTTTTTTTTTTG